TTACAGGTAGCTCAGCAGAACTCTTCTGCAGCTATGGAGACTTTTCTCAAGGACATACCCTACAGTGGACACACAAAGCAACCGTTTGCATCACTACCTTTGAATCTTTGCTCAAGCAAGTTTCACTTAGCAGAGATACGAAAGTACTTCATTTTTTATTAATTTCTGTATTTATAAATACATAGATATGAAAAATAATAAACTAGCATATATGTCTCTAAGGGCATGATTTCAATGATTGCTGCTTATTCTTAAGTTTTCTTCTTAACAAGAAAAAAAGACTTGAATATGAATCACTTATTTAAATGCACTTGATATTTTCAGAAAATGTAGAAGTGGAATATCAAAGAAAGATATGTTCCTTTTTTGCATTTTATTTCCTTTATATGGTGAAGGAAAAAACCCTTAGTATTCAACATCCAAGCTTCATTTTCAACAAGAATCAGAAAATTGTCAAAGACGAACTGTTTTTCATCATACAAATGACTTGATCACAGATAATAAAATTGCACAAACCTCAAAGCCTAAATAACCATGTAAATGGGTTCTATGTTTTTTGAGACAGATGGTGGATCGCAACAGTGATGGGTTATGAATTCCAAAAAGATTGTCCTCTAGCATATAACATAAAATGACTGAAGAAGTGGATTTAAAATATAGTTAAAGTGGAACCAAAATAGACAAAAATCACATCGGTTTTTAAGAGATCAAGAAGACAGAAACAGAGAACACGAAGATTGTATTAAAAGTAATCTGGGAAGAAAACCATTTTGAGTTGAAATATTATGCATAAGAAAGAAATTGGAATGTGTTTCAACAGAATGAGTAGTGGTATCTGTTTTATTCCATGTCATGTCTAAGAGTGTAGAAAACTGCAGCCTACTGTATCCATCAACCACCTTATCATTTGCCACTGTTCCAGAGGTATGCCCACCAGCCCCAGTCATTGTTGAGAACTCTTAAGCGCCTGCATCTAGCTCTTAGTTGGAACTATTATGAAAAAGGATTAAGATCTAATTAATGCAATCTTGCATTTCAGTAAAACTCAAAGGAACCCAAATGAAAGTATAAACTACTCTATCTAGGTAAGAGTGGGCAGTCATTATTTGTCAAAAGGCCAATAACATACTCCAGGGAGGTGTGGGCAAATATGGGTAGCAAAGACATCAGGAGTGCTAATTTTAACACTGACTCTCTTGATATGTATTCTCAGGTCATTTAGCTATATTATTGTACACACACACACACACACACACACACACACACACACACACACACACCACCTGCTCCTGCATACATACCCAGCCTCCTTTCCCACCACTCTTTTTCCCTTTCTCTACACTCCAGTTCAGCCAGTCTTCCCTCAGAATGTGTCATGCTTCTCCCCTACTCAGAGACTTCACACCTGCTCTTCCTTGGCCTAGACCCTCCTCCCATTAGCCAACGTAACTCCCATTCAGGTTTCAACTATCCTTTGTCATTTTCTCTACTACAACTTCACAGAAACTTGTGGGTTTCCTTCTCTACAGTCATCCCAGTTGTGATTAATTGTAATGTCTGTGTCTTGGGTAAAAGACAACCTCTTAGAGAAGAGGGAGCCTCTCTTTCTTTGATTACTTTCTTTTTTTTCACTAACTGTATTCCTAGTGCCTGGTATAGGAATAGCTTAATGAATGTTAGTTGAATGAAAGGATAAGTGAAAGATTCTCCTGGTAAGGTATTATTTGAACACCTCACCAAATCCTGCTGCTACATATGCAGAGACCAATGTCTTGGGGTTCAAACAGAACACCTCCTCTTGGTATGTAATTGCTTGCCTTCATTTACTTTGGAGCTACAGATGCAAACTTCAAGGCTTTTCCTAGGGATATTTTGGTGACCAGGGAAAGTAACAGAAGCCTGGAATTTAGGATTAGATGGGAACTAGAAAATGCCTCTGGCCTTGTTTGCTTGAAGAGGGAAGTGACTAACCCCATTAATCTTAGCTGGTGTGCAATGGAGACCTCTTGGACCATGGCAGGGAGAGATCTCCCCAACACACAGCCTGTAAGTGGCAAATGACAGAGGGACGTCATGAGACCTGGAGTTATTTCATGGGAACCTGGATCATACTATGATCTACTTCAATATAAGGTTTGTCGATTATTTTAACATAATGCAGTGTGGTCGTAGTACTTATGAGAGAGGAGCCCCTGGTCTGGGGAGTAGGATGATTTTTAACAAAGGCCATCAAGGTGAGTTGGGACCAGTGCAAGATCTAACACCCAGAGATCAGAGAGGAAAAGTGCTGCAATTGTCAAGGCACATTGCTGATTGGCTGTGTGCTAGACATTATGAAGACTAGCTCCCTGAGACCTGACTCCTTGGAGACAGATATCAGACAGTCTTGCTCAAAATTGTATTTCTGAGTTGGTATAGTATTAACATTCATGCATGCTTTCATTTTGTCCCACAGACCACCAGTAAGTTTGGGAAATATTTCACCTCTCACCCCTTCTTAGTCACATTGATGGGTAGTCCTGCAATAAAGAAGTCTTCGACTGAACTGATGATGAAAGTTTGTATTTTGAAAAACATCATGTGTCAATCAGGACAGTCTCCAGAAGGCTGCTGTATTGAACAACCTCTAAGCCTCAGTGGCTTGAAGTTTATTTCTCTCTCCTGCCACGCGTTCACTGTTGGTTGACTGGCGATCCTGTGGCATGTGGTCCTCACTCTGGGATCTAAGCCTGTCTGGGTGCCCTAGCAGGGAAGATAAATGTGGAGGAGAGACTGTTCCATTATGTGACCGCTGTTTGTCCTGTTTCCTGGACTCGGGCCAGAATGGAGATTGCTTTCCACAAATCCCCCTTCGAGACTGTCTGGATATGATTTGATGTTCATTCTGACATAAATTAGCACCCTTCACCTGCTCCTGCCTCCTGCTCCTGCTATGTGCTGGGTCCTGCAACAGATTGTAGTTCTGACCTGGTCGAGCATGTAAAGTAATTTCTGTACCTGGTAGCATTCACGCACTAGTATCTGTAACTATCCCCCTCTCCACTTCTCTCCCCCCCCCTCCCCCCCGCCCCGCGCACGCGCGCACACACACACCATAGAATTCTTTGGTAAGTGGCCCAGGGATCCATTTTTGTCTTGCAGCCCCCAAGACAGACCTCCTATGTAAGTTTCCTATATTAAACTCCAGACTGGAGTGACCAGCCTCTTTCTTTGGTCTTTTCCTGCTGTTTACAAAGGTTGATTTCTAGTCTTGGTGCTGTTCCCTGGGTCTGTGCCTGCAAACAGTGAGTTCTGGAGGTTTTCACAGTGAAGTGTTCTAGTCTGAAAGTCACACTTGGATCATTGGCTAGAACTAGTCACATTGCCCCACCCAACCATGAAGGGCTGAGGAGGTACTGTCCTACCATGTGCCTGGAAAGTAGACAGCCAGAAATATTCAGTGAACAGCACTGACAACTAAACCTCTTAACCTGACTGAACTCCTAGGGTCATTAAAATCACTGCTGTTAATTGTTTTAAAAAATAAGAATTTATAATAGTTACTATTCAGGATTGTTAACCACCTCTGTTAAAGTTGCATGACCATACTCAATCGGGAATAAGAAATGGAAAGCTGATTTTTTTTTTCACACTTATCTGGGGGGGCGGGAGGGGGAGAGCAGTGTCAAATGAACAATTCTTGGGAAATAGTCTATGAAAACAATTTCTTCTCACCTGAAGTCTCTAGTAAATTCCTGCAACAAATAAAATCTTTTACCAGCCAATTTTTCAATGCTTCTCCCCAGTACAATCCTATACAAGAAAAGGCTTATATGCAAATTGTCCCCTCAGGAGTTCAACCAACTGCGAGTTCGACCACTTGCTATGATGTGCACTGACCACCAGGTGGTGGTGCCAAATGAAGGCAGGCAGGCCCCAGCCAGCAGCCAGTAGCCGGCAGAAGGAAGGCCCTGATCAGCCCTGATCGCCAGCCAGGCCTAGGTGCTCTACCCATGCACAAATTTCATGCACTGGGCCTCTAGTTGCTATGTAATAGAAAGCATGGATAATTCCACAACACAGCCTATTTCTAGGCTACTAGAGGGAGGTATAAATGCCCATGTACAGTCTTCTTTCCAGATGTGCAGAGTTAATGCTACCATCAGATAAATGTCATAATGTCAATGAAGTTGGCATAGAATTCATCTAAACAAAAATGTATGTGCATTTTGTACTATTTTCATTACCTTAGAAAATTAATTTCTGATGAAGTCTACCTAGTCAAATTATCGAATGCCTTGGTATCTTGTTTGATAGTTGTCCATAATTGTATCACATGATAACACAGGAAAAAAAGGAGATGATGATGTACAGAAATAGTACCTTGGTTTTAAGATGTTATCTCCTGCATACCAACACAATGAAAATGCTTGTAGTTATTTAAAAGTCCTTAATGTTTCTGTGAGAATACAGGGCATGTTAAATTCACATCATTTAGCCCTGGCCAGTGTGGCTGTTCAGTGGTTAGAGCATTGGCCTGTGGAACTAAGGGTTGTGGGTTTGATTCCTGGTCAGGGTGAGTGTGGGAGGCAACCCATAGATCTGTCTCTCTCACATGGGTCTTTCTCTCTCCCTCTCTCTCTCTCTCTCTCTCTCTCACTCTTCTCCCTCCCTTCCACTACTCTAAAAATCAATGGAAAAAATATCCTCCAAGAAAAAAAAAGTTCACATCATTTACTCTGCCACCTCCAGTTCCTTCATACTTCTTCTTTCCATATTTTCTATATAGAACTATAATTAAATTACCTGATGTATGTAAAGTGCTTTGAGAAAAGCTTGGCACATATGGACACTATGCATGGTTTGTTATCACTGTTATTGTTGCTATTATTCATGTGTTATGAGTGATGCTCTTTATGTCTTATGCCCTGCAAAGATTCTAAAGTGGTATGGTTGGCTTTAACAAGTTCAATCCAGTGCTCGCAGAGGGAGAAAGTCTAAGGTGCAAGGCATCTTCTTTATTTTTCTTTTTCAGGACAGAACATTCAAATCACCTTGGAAGTGATCAAAGTGATAAAAAAAAATGTGTTAGGAAGATTTTGTGTGTTTATATCTCTAGATAAATGTTACCAAGTGATTACCTGAAATGATAAATGTTGAGAACAAATTAAAAAGAGTTTTTTATAAGTCTACCACAAAGAACTACTAATTAAAACAGCCCCTGCTCACATTGTATTAGCTTCAGACTGTGGTAAATCACTTGCAATATTATTAAAGTATTTCACTATATATTTTATTTTTATAATAATGAATCTGGTATGCTCTACTCTCCTTTGGCTTGTTACACATTAATCATTCCACTCGCTCAGGGCATCATCTTCACGTCCACGTATTCCTGTTGGTGATCGTTCAAGAGAAGCTGACCCTTTGCCTTTCACTGAAGTCTGCTCAGAACGTACCTCAGTCCCTGAGACTTTTCCCTCCCAGAAAGACTTTACTGCCGCCCTGGGAGATAAAACAAAAACAAAAAAATCTTTTATGTGAAATGAAAACTAAAAATAGATTTATGTTTCGCTTTTGTCTATATAGAAGTGCCTTCTTAGTCACAATTTATTTTTAGTTTGCGGTACATCAGTTGCATTGCAACAGTAGAGCCCTCAGATGTAACAGGGTATAATACTCATGTAGGTATTAGAAATATTCTCCTATAACTGCATTGGTAGGTTACAATAACCAATTTTTGGGGTTGTCATAACTACAACTGGACAGCACAAATATTCATTCAATAGACTTTTTAAAGCAACTACTATGTAAAACTGTAAAAACTGCATTTAAAAGCTCTCTCATGACTGGGAAACAAGTCATGAGATTAGGCAGACTGTACTAGGGCAGTCGCAGGAGTTGGGCAGTTTGAGGACACAGGTGAGAGACATCATGGACAGAGCTTTGGATTCATGGGACAAGGGCGGGGCAGAGAGATGGACGTCAATCAAGGGGGAGACTCACTTTTAGTCCTTCACCTACCAGTTTATAATTATGAAGATCAGCACAAAGATCACAAATATGCACATCACAACTCCTATGGTCAGCACAAACACTAGCACTGCATCAGTGTCCGGTCCTTTTGATCTTTTCATCTGCAATTCTAGAGAAAAAAACATACATATATCTGATGATTATTCCCACTGACAGAAAAAGGAAATGGAAACTTCATATCTGAAAAATAACTCTAGAAATATACAGAAAGAATTAGTGGACGGAAAGTTATTAATTAACTTGCTCTGCATGTTTGAAATGTTCTTTCAAACATGCAGAAAGTTGAAAGACTTTGACCATGAACATTATGTATTCCTACCACCTAGACACTACCAACAACATTTTACTATCCGTTTATCCATCCTTCTGTCCCATCCTGTATTTTTAATGCATTTCAACATAATTTACTGATGTCTGCATATTTCCCAGCAAAATTCTTCAACTGGCATATCATTAACTATAGTTTATATTTTTATATCCTTTGTATTTTTTTTCTTCTGAGGTAAAATTTCAACAATAATTTGCACAAAGATCTTAAATGTACATTTGCTTATTTTTGACATATACAAACACATACATGCAATTTAAACCCTTAGCAATACACAGAATATTGCTATACCCCAGAAAGTGCCCTTGAGCCCCTCCCAGTTAATCCCCGCCCTATCTTCCAGAGGCAACAACCCTCCTGATTCTCTATTTCCACCACCCATTAGTCCTGCCTATTCCAGAATTCATAGGCTTGGAAACATATACTATGTATTCTTTTGTGTAGGGCTTTTTCAATCAATATAATGTTTTAGAGATTCACCCATATTTGCACATGTACCAAGTTTTTTTCTTTTTTATTAATGAGTTTTTTTCTTTTTTATTAATGAGTAGTATCTCTCAATTTGTTTACTCATTCTCTTATTGATAGCCATCTAGGCTGTTCTAGTTTGGTGCTATTATAAATAAGCTGCTATGTACATTTTTGAAGAAGTCATTCTGTGAACACACATTTTCATTTCTCTTGGATAAATATGTAAGAGTAGAACTGCTGGGTCATAGGGTAGAGGTATGCTTAGTTTTCCAAGACACTGCAAGACCTTTTCTTAAACTGATCGTATTAATTGTACATTTTATAAATTTCTTTCTCTCTGATTTTTGGCTTGCCTATTCATTTTTATAATGATTTCTGTTAATGAACTGCAGTTTTTAGTTTTGGTGAAGCAAAATTGATCAATGTTTCCTTTTATGGTGTTGGTTTTCTGAGTCATGTCCAAGAAACCCTTGCCTATGCCTGAATTATGCAGATGTTCTGTTTCCCTTTTTAAAGTTTTCTGGATTTGACTTTTACCTTTAAGACTATGATACATCTCTGATTTTTATATATGTTGTAAGACAGTGGTTGAAGCTCATTTTTTTTTCATAGAAATACCCACACACCACTTTTAAATCAGGCACTCTCTCCCATATCTTTATGAACATAAGGCTATTAAAAGGACAAAGCCAGTCTACCATATGTGTTATAACATTGCTGCATTATAAATTGGTGAAAAGCCAATTTACATAAAGTATTACATTGTGAATTATATAGCTTTCTTGTGGCTCTTTCTGGTTCCTAAATCATAGAATCATAAAAGATTTACATGGAAAGGACCAGATGCAACTGCTGAATCATACCAATGTCTAAGGGGGTTTAATGATTTCTGCAGCTATGTTTTATATATTTTAATATTTTAATTTTGGTAAGTATCAATCTATCCGAAGTAATCTCCTATATGAGCAACCTCAACAGCTTATTTGTCTGAATTTTTCTTTCTATTCTTTAAACACTGTGGAGTATAGTGTTCCATTTTCCTTAGTAGTTCTAGAGTTATGCACTCAATTTAGTGATCTCACTAAATAGTTCCAAATATGATAGAGAAATTACATATTTATATTCCAACATTGTTGAATTTTAAAAATAATTTCAGTTTTGCTAATTTTAGGTTTATAAAAGCCATGCGGTTTTTTAAGCTCAAATAAAAGACACCTTGTAGGATCCCCAACAGGTTTGGCTCAATGGGTAGAGCGTTGGCCTGTGGACTCAAGGGTCCCAGGTTCGATTCCAGTCAAGGGCATGTACCTTGGTTGCAGGCACATACCCATAGGGGGTGTGCAGGAGGCAGCTGATCGATGTTTCTCTCTCATCGATGTTTCTCTCTATCCCTCTCCCTTCCTCTCTGTAAAAAATCAATAAAATACATATTTTTAAAAAAAGACACCTTGTAGGATTAAAACCTGAAAAGAAATGCAAAATTCCCTTCCATTTATCTACGACCCTGCAATACTGGCCAAGAAGGTAGAGAGTGAGGGTATGACGATTTTAGTTCATTTCAATAGGGGTCTTCCCACAAGGATCACTTAGATTGCTTTTAAATCTAATAACTAAAAAGGCTGCATTTCCTCTTGAAATTTTCTAATGAAGAAATAGGGTGAATTTTTTTTAGTAAAACTAAGCTTTTTAGTAAAACTAAGCTTATGTTTGTATTAGTTTCCCAGAGGCACCATAACAAAGTACCACAAACTGGTTGACTTAAAAACAAAGGAAATTTGTGGTCTCATAGTTCTAGAGGCGAAAATTCTGAATACAAGGTATTGGTATGGCCATGTTCCCTCCAGAGATTCTGGGAGAGGACCCCTCCTTTCTTCTTCCAGTCTTTGGAAGCCCCTATGTTCCTCGGCTGGGGCAGCATAATTCCAGTCTCTGACTGTTTTCTCATGGCTGCCTTTTCTCATGTGTCTTTGTGTCTTCACATGGCATTCTCCTCTGTCTCGCTCGCTCTGTCTGTCTGTGTCCAATTTTCCCTCTTCTTATAAAGACACCCGTCATATTGGGTTAAAGTCCCACTCCAGCATGTATGACCTTATCTGAACTGAACTAATTACATCAGCAATGACCCTATTTCCAAATATGGGCACATTCTGAGGTTCTGGGAGTTAGAACTTGAAAGTATCTTTTTAGCGGGACACAATTTAAGCCAAGACAATGCCTAATTATGAAGGACAACTATTGTAGAAGTGAAAAATCTGATATATAAGGGAATGGATGGGACATTTTCATTAACTAAATAATATTTACCCTAAAATATTTGAATTATGTATTTGTTTCAAGCCAGTACCATATTGTGGACATTTATAACCAAAACGTTTGTTTGATGTCTAAACAACCCAAAGCGTCTGTCACAGTGGTGTATACAATTGTCATTTTAAAAGAAAACAATAGATCCAAAGTGTTCTGAAAACATTTTGTCAATTAACCAGTGTGTGTACTGAGACAGCAGAGCTTCCCCACCAGCCCTAAACTGAGAAGACATAGTTAGCCCTGCTATCTCAGTTAAGGATTGACATTATGGGGTCTGTGTTCCAGGCCTTAACTTATGTACTGTCAAATGCATGTCACCTTCTAGTCATGGGAAGAGCTAACTATTGAGATGTCCTAACATCTCAAGAAAGGGGACAAAGACCAAGAATGCCCTCTGATAGCTATAATATCCTGAACAAAACTCATTGAGAAAAATTTTATTTTGATGATATTTGGTCCTCTTTGGCCTTTTTTAGCACTTTATTAAAATTACCCTTTTAACACAGCCGGTGTGGCTCAGTGGTTGAGTGTCAATCCATGAACCAAGAGGTCGCTGGTTCGATTCCCAGTCAGAGCACATGCCTGAGTTTTGGGCTTGATCCCCAGTAGGGGGAGTGCATAAGGCAGCCAATTGATTCTCTCTCATCATTGATGTTTCTATCTCCCTCTCCCTTTCTCCCTCTGAAATCAAAAAATATATATTTTAAATTATCCTTTCAATAAAAACCGGAGTAAGATTATTAGCTTTCACAAGAAAAAAATTTTTTAAAGACATTATACAACATATCAAAAAATTTATAAATAATTTATTTCAAAAAACCATCCCCAAACAGTTTAGCTTGTTTTCATTCAATAAAGGGTTGCTATGTTGCATGGTATCTCTAGACTACAGCATAAATCCTTTACTTGGGATTAAGAAATACCTTCAAGAAATCCAGGAACCCCCTTTAGAATCACAGGTAACTCTTGGCGTGATTGTATATGTGGGCATTTTTCTGGTAAAAGCCTCCTGAGCCTTAACTGGATTCTAAAAAATCCTGTAACCAAACCTGCGGGAAGCCACCACTTGATGATACTGTCACGAGACTGCACCAAGGAACGGGGAAGCCAGTGGACCTCGGGCATTAGCAGGGCTGACGCTAAGCACCATTGTTCCTGTTGAGAGAGTGGTGGCTCAAGGCAGTTCCCTAACCTGACAATCCCTTTACTGTTTACCCAACTTTACCTTTGATACGCCTGTATGCATTGCTAAAGGGCAAATGTGTATTCAAGTAAATAAACAGTAGACCAGGTCAGAAGTCGGTGTGCTCTTCACCACCTGGCCACCACCCCTTCATAATTCATATTTCTTGTCTAGAATTTTCATTCGTGCATCGGCCCCTCCTTCAGATCCTGAACCCAGTACTGCAGGTAAAACCCCCACTTCCCAATAGCAAAGATGACAACAACAATAAAAATGGTTAGCAGCAACTGAACTAAAGGAAATAATTATATCATAGTCTAAATTAAAAGGACATGCACATGGATCCATTTCACAAGGAAAGCAGCTTTTAACTTGTGAAATGATGTTCAGGACAAGATTTGCCCTTTGTGACATATATTGATGACTATTATTGTTTTGTCAAAAAATGTTTTCTTCAAATGGGTAATTTTTTAAAAGACATGCCTTGACATAATGCTTCTTACTTTCATTTTATTATACAAAATTTTTGTAAGCATTCATGAGAACTCCATGTGTACATTTTCACTTTTGTGGTGAAGTAAAAGTAAAAATATAATCTAAGTTATAGGATTGTTCTTTGGAGAAATTTCAGGAATACACTAGTTTCCCGAAGTGAGGCAAATCCAACTGTACTTTGAAAAAAAGAAATGAAGCACTACCTTGTAGAAAAGTCTAAATGATCTGAACCAGTGGTTCTCAAACTATGATGTCTGCCAGCAGCACCTGGGAACTTGTTAGAATTATAAATTCTTTTGTCTACCCCACCCAAGATCAACTGAATTGGAAACTCTGTGGGTAAGGCTAGCCATCTGTGTGTCAAGAAGCCCTCCAGGTGATTTTGATGCTCTCTAAAGTGTGAGATAAGCAAACCAAAATATTGCTGGGCACTTACCATTTGAGGTATAGACTGTGAATCTAAGAGATGCTACTATTTCATTATTCTCGAAGGTATCGCACTCATAATCCAAGGGATGAATTGGCCTGCTTACTTCTAGGATTGCTGAATCATTTGCAAGTACAACGGGTTGCTTTTTAAAAGAAAATAAGTATCAATATTTTTCATGTAAACTTAAGATCAGGAAATAATTTCCTGTAACAAAAAAAGAGCCATTATCTCTCAGTCTAGAGCAGTAATTACTTATGCACATGAATTTTATAGTCAGGCAATCTAGACATCAAGTTCCAATCCTACCATTTCCTGCCTGTGTGACCCAGAGCAAGTTACTCTCAGCATTTCAGTTTCTTATCTGTAAAATGGGTATAATGTTAGGAATTACCTCATAGGATTGTTATGTGGGTTAAAAGAAACATTAACATTTGGTGTATGTCTGACACTTAATTAGCCCTCAGTTAATGTTAGCTACTGTTGTCATTAATATAATTCCTATATATACAATGAAAACCTTGCTTCCAAAATAAAATAATTTGTATAAAATGAATGTTTTTAAGTTCTGTTAATAGCTGATCCTAAAACATGTTTACAAATTATGAAAAAAAATTAAATCCTAATAATAATAAGCTATATGATTTTAACTTCATTTTTGAAAACTGCAAAAGCACTGGGAAACAAATTTTATCACTCACTACAAAGCACCAAATTATATTCATTACTCACTTGCTCTGGCCTTAGAATTTTCCAAATATATTTGAAACGATTTTCAGGAGCTGTATGAACACAGGCCAGTTTCACACTGTCAAGACTTTCTGATATTGGTTTACCCCCTGAAAATAGAAAAATTAAACACAAAAATACCATAGAGCATTGTAAATTGCTTTATAAATAATATTACTTTTAAAATCTACCTCCAATTTTACAATAAATTCTATGCTAGAAGTTATCAGACTTAGAGTTTGAATGTAGAGGAGCAGAGAGGAGTGATGGATACAAAGAGAAAGTCACCAAAAGAAGCAGGTAGGAGCCTCGATAGCTATCTGCTCCTTCAGTAGAATAAACTGGAGAAGAGGAATAGTAAGGGCAATCAACTCAATGAGCTAACATACTTTCAAATCTACCCATGGCTTCCAATTTACTGGTTAGGGACCCCATAACAGATAATGAAATCTCAGCACTGTGTAATTTGATATAGAACATCACTTAAAATTTAGGATGTACCAATCGACTGATAAAATGTCATGACCAAAGTGTCAAAAGTATTTTGCTACAGGACAGCCTTGACCACAGAGCCTGAGTACAATAAGGTTACAGTGTATTGCAGAAAATATATGTTAAATTTTAGACAGTGAAAAAATGTAAAGTAACAGCAGAAAGTTATTCAGAGCTATAACTGTCCTGAGAAGTGGAATTTTAAGTTTTCTTATGATTTCCTTTCAGTATATCAATTCCACTCATGACAACCTGAAGTTAAAGTATTTCCCCAGAGTAAACTCTTCCCCTCTCAGTCTCCCTCCAGAGTCCAACTCACAGCCACAGTCTACTGGTCCACGACATTCTTCCACCCGTACAATGCACTTAGATTCACCTCCAGGGCATCCATTTGTTAACATAACTTCTCTAATACCAACACCTTTAGTAAAAGAAAATGGCAAATGTTAGAAAAAACAAATTCCACAGAGTTATTTTCTTTACCATCTAAGTTTTCATTGAGACTTTTTTCTTAATTTCAGAAATTAAATTCCCAAAATCAGGTTTACAACATTTAGAATTTTTAGACCCTTTATTTTTAATTACTTCCTAAAACAGCTTTTCCTAAAGTGAGTTACATGTAACACCAGTCCTTCTGATTGTTACCACTAGAAAAAGAATTCCATGATTATATACATTTGAAAATAATGCATTAAATAAAATTAAAGGGATATCTTTACTACAGAATTTGGGGAAAACTTTTAAAATGCTAATAAATTAACATACTTTGTGTGTAAACTTTCATTGATTTAACATGTAAAATTTTTACATCTTAACATATTTGAAATCAGAATGCATCTTAAAATTGATGGCATATCACAAATTGGCAGGATTTTCCTTTTTAGAGATACATAAATTGTGCTTCTTACAACCAATAAAATGTTAGATTTAATGAAATACATAGTACACAGGATCTCCCAAATTTATTTGACCATGGAACTTTTAGGGAGACTTGGAGCTTCTAGAGGAAATTCCAAAATCATATTTTAACATAAATTAAGCTTTTTAATATTTAAATTGATAATAAATAAAGCAGGACAAACTATTAATTATCGAATCTCCATTTTCAACAACATACTCTCTTTAGAATTGCCACACATTTTTATAACAAGAAACCAAGCCTTTACTATCATAGATCTTCAGAGTTTGCCTTTCATCACCAGAATTGGAGATGATAAAATGCTTGATCAGCCACATGCTGAACATGTCCTGTGATAAACTGACTGTGAATGAAAACAGGGCCACATACCAAACCTGACAAGCTCAGGGGGGGTCTGCATGTGGGCCTTAGAAACTCAAGTAACCACATAAAATGGTCTGAACATAAAAATCCCTAACTGAAAGCAAGTTAGGGTGGGTAGTCACATTCTAAGCCTGTAGCTTCCTTAACAAAGGTCAATCTTTACCTCAAGTAAGCCTGTTTATTATCTTTTTGCATCTAAGATAACATGTCAGAGTAATCTTCTTCTCCAGGTCCCTCAAGCCACAACCCAGGCATGAGAGCACACAATCACAGAACCTTCCCTGTTAGCTTATTCCCCAAATACCATCTCTATAGTTAATTACTGACTTTCCTTTACCCACCAATGTGAAGGAAGCATGTGTTTCTCTATTTTGCCTTTTTATCCAGTCCCAGAGATTTCCCTGGTTTGCTTTCTCCCGCCCCCTTAATCTACCATCAATGGATTTCATGTTCCATCCTGAAGTCTCCTCCTTTTATTCTAATGTATAAAATAAGCTGCAAAACTGGCATTCTTCAGAGCATTTTCTCAATCTATTGAGATTTTGCATCCTGGCAATTGTCAGTTTGGCTCAAACTCATACAAATTCTCTATAGGTTTGGATGTTTCTTAAGTCGACATGACCTATGAAAAGGCTGTTTGGTCACAGGCTAGGGAACTGTCCATCTTGATTTCCTTGTTTACCAGATTTCCTCTTCCAACCCCTATATGATGTTAATCATAAAATCCATTCTCAAGGGCAAGGGGAAGTTGAAATTAGAAATGGCTTACCATAGTTCTTCTCAAAGTTCAGCGAGCCTGCAGATCGCCTGGAGATCTTACATGAAATTCTGACTCAGCAGGTTCTGAGAGTCTGCCTTCCTAACAAGCTCCCAAGCTATGTGGCTGGTCTCTGGACCAAAAATTGAGTAGCAAGGGAGAGGGCTCCATATGAGATAAAGAAATAGAAGATTGGAAGAGGAAAGTTCTCTTGATTAAAAGAGATGCCTAAAAATGGCTACAGTATGGTTCCACGTGAATTTATGAAAGGTCCCTATCTAGAAGCACACCCTTATTCTGAAATGCATAAAAAATTTTCAAGCATAAATAAATAAATGTATTTATTTATTTTGCAAAACACAGTTTACTGCGATGATGTAAATAGCTAAGATTTTCTGTAAATCCAAGTGACACTCAAAAATCTGCCTGTGTATTCCAGAAAAAGAAAAAATTTTGACTGCTACATTATTTTGGGAGTTCAATCGAATTTTCACTAAAGCATTTTTCCCTTCACAGAGTTGTTATAAATTGAAAACATTTTTTAAATATTTAAAAAATATTTTAGATGCAAAATGTTGTATTTTCTGGTTTGTCTCCTTAAAACTTATCACCATCTGACATATTATATATTTTACTTTTATTTATGTCTTTGACCCAACTAAAATATGTAATCTTTGAAGGCAGCATTTCCTCTGCTTTCTTCACGGCTATATTCCCAGTAGACTGCATTGTAGACAGAAAAAATTTCTAAAAGTCCCCAAACAGAAAATCATTTGTTGAATGAATATATAATTTCTGAAACACATATTTAATAATAGTGTAAGACAATATATAATTACTAGAATTGTCATAAATATAATTCTCTTATGAAAATGTTTCAAGTAAGCAACAGAAGAAAGATATAAATTGTAAATGAATAATCACAGGTTTATTACATGGATTCTTCTCATTTTCTGACTTTCATTCATGAAGAAATTAAGGTTAAAAAAAAAAAGGCTGAAAACTATCTCAAGAGACAGAAAATGGAACAGTGAACAGGAACAAGACAGGGATGCCCACTCACACCACTCCTGTTCAACATAGTACTGGAAGTATTAGCCATTGCGATTAGACAAGAAGAAGAAATAAAAGGCATCCAAATTGGAAAAGAAGAAGTAAAACTGTCTTTATTCGCAGATGACATGATATTGTACATAAAAAACCTAAAGACTCAATCAAAAAACTATTAGACTTAATAAATGAATTTGGCAATGTAGCAGGATACAAAATTAACACCAAGAAATCTATGGCATTTCTATACACCAATAGTGACCTTACAGAAAGAGAGACTAAAAAAGCAATCCCATTTACCATCACACCAAAAAAATTAAGATACCTAGGAATAAACTTAACTAAAGAGGGAAAAGACCTCTACTCAAAAAACTACAGGACGTTGAAAAAAGACATAGAGGAAGACATAAACAGATGGAAGAACATACCATGTCCTTGGATTGGTAGAATCAACATCATTAAAATGTCCATACTACCCAAAGAAATCTATAAATTCAACGCACTTCCCATTAAAATACCAACGGCATATTTTACAGACCTAGAACGAACTCTCCAAAAATTCATCTGGAATTTTAAAAAAGACCCCTAATAGCTGCAGCGATCCTGAGAAAGAAGAACAAAGTAGGTGGGATCTCAATACCAGATATCAAGCTGTATTACAAAGCCACTGTTCTCAAAACTGCCTGGGACTGGCACAAGAACAGACATATAGATCAATGGAATAGAATAGAGAACCCAGAAATCGACCCGAACCAATATGCTCAATTAATATTTGACAAAGGAGGCAAGAACATACAATGGAGTCAAGACAGTCTCTTCAATAAATGGTGTTGGGAAAATTGGACAGATACATGCAAAAAAATGAAACTAGACCACCAACTTACATCATACACAAAAATAAACTCAAAATGGATAAAGGACTTAAATGTAAGATGGGAAACCATCAAAATCCTAAAGGAATCCAAAGGCAACAAAATCTCAGACATATGCCGAAGCAATTTCTTCACCGATACTGCTCCTAGGGCATTGGAAACTAAAGAGAAAATAAACAAATGGGACTACATCAAAATAAAAAGTTTCTGCACAGCAAAAGAAACCATCAACAAAACAACAAAAAAGCCCACTGCATGGGAGGACATATTTGCCAATGTAATCACCGATAAGGGTTTAATCTCTAACATTTATAGGGAACTCATACAACTTAACAAAAGGAAGATAAACAATCCAATCAAAAAATGGGCAAAGGGCCTAAATAGACACTTTTCAAAAGAGGACATTCAGAAAGCCAAGAGACATATGAAAACATGCTCAAAGTCAGTAATCATCCGAGAGATGCAAATCAAAACAACAATGAGGTATCATCTCACACCCGTCAGAATGGCTATCATCAACAAATCAACAAATGACAAGTGCTGGAGAGGATGTGGAGAAAAAGGAACACTCGTGCACTGCTGGTGGGAATGCAGACTGGTGCAGCTACTATGGAAGACAGTATGGAGTTTCCTCAAAAAGTTAAAAATGGAACTCCCATTTGACCCAGTGATCCCACTTCTAGGAATATATCCGAAGAAACCAGAAACACCAATCAGAAAGGATATATGCATCCCTATGTTCATAGCAGCACAATTTACCATAGCTAAGATTTGGAAACAGCCTAAGTGCCCATCAACAGATGAATGGATTAGAAAATTGTGGTACATCTACACAATGGAATACCATGCTGCTGTAAAAAAGAAGGAATTCTTACCATTTGCAACAGCATGGATGGAACTGAAGAGCATTATGTTAAGTGAAATAAGCCAGTCAGTGAAAGAAAAATATCATATGATCTCACTCATTTATGGATAACAAAGACCATTATAAACTGATGAACAAAAATAGATACAGAGGCAGAGCAGCATCGAACAGACTGTCAAACCACAGCAGGAAGGCCGGGGAGGGTTTGAGGGAGGGGGGCGGTGGTGGTAAGAGATCAACCAAAGGACTTGTATGCATGCATATAAGCATAACCAATGGACACAAGACACTGGGGAGTAGGGGAGGCCGGGGGAAGGTCAAGGCTGGGGGGGGGGGAGGACGGGAAGGAGACATATGTACCACTCTTTGTAATATTTTAAGCAATAAAAAAATTTTTTTAAAAAAATAAAGAAAATGGAATAGTGTTTTCCAAGGGCTGGGAGAAAGGGGAAGTAGGGAGTTAGTATTTAATGCACACGGAGGTTTCAGTTTGGGATGATGAAAAAATTCAGGAGATGGATGGTGCTAATGGTTGCACAATAATGTGAATGTGCTTTATGTCACTGAAATGTACATTTTAAATGGTTAAAATAGTAAATTTTATGTTAGGTATATTTTATCACACACACTCACAAACAAAATCTATCTCAAATGAAAGTAATTCAGGTGTAATGTTTGACCAAAAAAAAAAAAATGTTCTGATGTAGATCTGCATGGATTTTCTGTCTTACCTTCTGGTTTTTGTCTTTCCCTCCTGTCACTGTCTTTTTATTACAAGGCAGAGTCTATTTAAAATAAACTTAATTTCATTGTGAATTATCTATTACCTTCTCAACAAGCTACTCTATAGTGGTTCTGAAAAGATGGTCTTCTAACCAGCAGCATCAGCTTCATTGGTGAACTTGTTCAGAAATACAATTTCTTAGGCCCCTCTGAAGGCCTACTGAGTTAGAATCTCTGGGGTAGGCCCAGAAACCTGTGTTTTAACAAATCCTTCAGGAACTGAGAGTGAACAGTTAAGTTTGGGAAACACCAGTCTATTGTAGATCATGTGTTGCCTTAATCCCACCACCATGTAAAAGATTTTTATATCCAAATTCTATTTATGGAATGATCAATACAAGTCACAATCCTTGAACGTTATCTTCCCCACAAGCCAATACCTCTTTTCTCCAAGATATGACATATAAATTGGAGAAATGTAGAATTTAGAATAGACTATTACAAAGAAGCACATTTCTTGATAGATTTGCCAACACAGTATGTAGAAAGACATCTGTGAGATGCATCTCAAGATTTTTCATCTTCTGAACATCTGTGAGATGGAGGAAATTTTACTTTGGTGAAGGCAGTGTATGTGCCAAAAAAAATATAGGGAGCTGGCTTAAAATAAGACTTAGAATTTATAAACTGACATATCCACCCTTTTAAAGCAATCAGTTTGTGTTTTGTGTGTGAATTATAGTCATTAGAATAGAAATCAATGAGAGATGAATGAGAGTACACAAATTACAAATAAAAATTGCCACACTATTTTTACCTTTCCTCCCCCTAAACTACAATATTGTTTATGTGCTCTATACTACTTACCACATGTAACAGTGCACATCCCAAATTCTACTTCTTTCACTACTTTCATTTCTGAACCTAAACATAAAATACAAAAACACATTATTTAATCACTTGAAAACTTTTCTAAGTGAAAAGCTCTTACTTGGGGATGGAGATACAAGTACTTGTCATGTGGGAAGCAGACATTTTATTTTATTTTTTAATATATTTCTATTTATTTCAGAGAGGAAAAGAGAGGAAGAGACAGAAACATCAATGATGAGAGAGAATCATTGATTGGCTGCCTCCTGCACACCTCCCACTGGGGATTGAGCCCACAACCAGGGCATGTGCCCTTGACCAGAATTGAACTTGGGACCCTTCAGTCCGCAGGCCTATGCTCTATCTATTGAGCCAAATCAGCTAGAGCTGGGAAGCAGACATTTTAAAAAGTTTTATTAAATCAGAAAAGCAATGCGAAAAGCAGTACATCTATTATTGTTTACATCAAAAGAAGCCTAAGCCTTTAAAGTAATAAATCAAGAAATAACTTGCAAGGAAAGTTTATACAACCTAAAAATAATTTTTCATTACTTTAATACATGATGATTTTAAAGTCCTATCGAAAGTCAGAAAAAACAAACAAACAAAAAACCCCAGCCAATTGTAAGGCCCAATTTTTTCCAATTCTCTATTTCTGAAAAATTTGAGTGTATCATTTTCATCCAAAACAAAAGTCTCTATACCAAGTGTTCATTAAAATCATGTATTATAGATTGGTTCTACTATTCCTAACACTTTATTAGTAGGATAATCTAGGAATACACAAGTATTTGATTAAATATCATTGGGTTCAAATCACATAATACAGAGCTTCTTTTTTCTTATCATTCTGAAGTTTGGCATGAATTCCACTTGCTGTAGTGTATAACCCATTCTTCATAGCTCACATTAAGACTAAACTCTCAAAGGATAAAAATATTAAATGAGGTGTTAGAAGATAATTTTTAAAAGGTATTATATCCTGAGGAAACAATGTTATATGGGAAAATGCATTAGAGTTAAAGCCAAATTGCTGCTTCTACCACTAATTAGCTGCTTTGAGTTTGAGTAAGTTACCTTTCTGTAAAATTTGAAAAGGAGAATCTATTTCGCTGATTATTGTGAGAATTAAATGAGAGAATGTGTATGAAAACATTCTGTAACTTGTTTACTGCTATAAAAATGCTTAAGAGATAACCTCAATCTCACTCATTTTGCACTTATTGATTTTATATAATTCAAAGATTTTTTCTATTTTTATTACAGCAAGACAATATTTTTATAGTTTTAATATGCTTACTAGAGGCCTGGTACATGAAATTCATGCATGGGGGTGGGGGTGGGGGGTTGTCCCCTCAGCCCGGCCTGCACCCTCTCACAGTCCAGGACTCCTCAGGGGATTTCCGCTTGCCAGCAGTTGGACATCCCTCTTGCAGTTCGGACCCCTCGCTCCTTACTGCCCGCCTGCTCACTGCTTCTTACCGCTCAGCTCACTGCTCCTTAGCACTGCTGCAGAGGCAGGAGAGGCTCCCACCATCACTGCTGCGCTTGCCAGCTGTGCGCCTGGCTTCTGGCTGAGCAGCGCTCCCCCTGTTGGAGCACATTGACCACCAGGGGGCAGCTCCTGCGTTGAGTGTCTGCCCCCTGGTGGTCAGTAAGCATCATACCTACTGGCCAGTAGGTCGGTTGCTTAGCCTTTTATATATATAGACTAGAGGCCCGGTGCACAAAAATTTGTGCACTCGGGGGGTACGGGGGGTCCCTCAGCCCAGCCTGTGCCCTCTCGCAGTCTGGGACCCCTCGGGAGATAACGACCTGCTGGCTTAGGCCTGCTCCCGGGTGGCAGAGGGCAGGCCCAATCCCTAGGTGCAGCCCCTGGTCGGGCTCAGAGCAGGGCCGATTGGGGAGTTGGGGCTCCACCCCCTGTCACACTCAAGGCAGGGTCAATGGGGAGGTTGCGGCGCCACCCCCTGTCACACACAGAACAGGGCCAATCAGGGGGTTGGGGAGCTCCCCCCTGTCACTCACAGAGTAGGGCTGATAGGGGAGTTGGGGCACTGCCCCCTGTCACACACAGAGCAGGGCGGATCAGAGGGTTGGGGCACCACCCTCTATCACCCACAGAGCAGGGCCAATCAGGGAGTTGGGGTGCCTCCACTCTCACACTCAGGGCAGGGCTGATGGGGAGCTTATGGCTCTACCCCATCACACACAGAGCAGGGCCCGTGGGAGGGGTTGGTTGGGGCGCCGCACCCTGTCACACACAGAGCAGGGCCGATCAGGGGGTTGGGGCACCACACCCTGTCACACACAGAGCCGCAGGGTGATCAGGGGTTTGGGCGCTGCCCCCTGTCACGCTGATCCCGGTACCAGGAGGCCTCTCTGCTCCGCTGATCCCAGTGCTGGGAGGCATATTACCCTTTTACTATATAGAATAGAGGCCTGGTGCATGGGTGGGGCTGGCTGGTTTGCCCTGAAGGGTGTCCTGGATCAGGGTAGGGGTCTCCACTGGGGTGCCTGGCCAGTCTGGGTGAGGGGCTGAGGGCTGTTTTCAGGCTGGCGGGTGACTGAAGCTCCCAACTGCTCCTTTTTTTTTTTTTTCTTTTTTTATTCTGGGCCAGCTTTAGCTCTGGCTCCAGCTCTGAGGCCTCTGCTGCTGAAAGCAGGTATCTGGTTTGTTTGGGTTCTATAATCGAAACAATGTATAACTCCAGCTCTGAGATCCCGGCGGCCGGCTGAAAGCAGGTTTCTGGGGTTTTGTTTAGCTTCTATATTTGTAACAATGTTTCAAACTGCAAGCTCAGAGGCCAGCAAGGCAGGCGGGGAACGTTGGAGTCCTCCGTCACTGAAGCAAGCCAGCCTCATGTTCGCTTCCAGCTGCCTGGCTGCCAGCCGCCATCTTGGCTGGCAGTTAATTTGCATATCGCCCTGATTAGCCAATGGGAAGGGTAGCGGTCGTACGCTAATTACCATGTTTCTCTTTTATTAGATAGGATGTACCAAACATAGTGTCTTGAATACATAGTAAGCACTAGATGTAAATATGTTAATCAATATTGACTTTGTTAAATAAATTATTTGGACTATCATGATCAATTTTGAATTAACATTTTTGCTTGAAATGCTTGGATACTTTCAACTGGCACATTATGGGATATAAAATAAAAGCCAAATCTTGAACACAGAAAACACGGGTAAGAGAATGAGTACTAGACTACTTTTAAATATAACCTCTTTCGCCTGGCTTGTGTTGCTCAGTGGTTGAGCATTGACCTATGAACCAGGAAGTCATGGTTTGATTTCGGATCAAGGCACATGCCCAGGTTGCTGGCTAGATCCCTGGTGGAAGGTGTGCAGGAGGCAGCTGATCAATGATTCTCTCTCATCATTGACGCCTCTATCTCTTCCTCTCCCTTCCTCTCTAAAATCAATAAAAAATGTTTTTAAATATATAACCTCTTTTCAAAAACCATTCAATAAACTAAATACTTAATCAGCTCTATTATTCAGTACCTATGCTACTTTGGGAAAATTATTTAAGTTCTCCTAACTTAAGAAAAGTTGAGTCTGGCCGGCGCAGCTCAGTGGTTGAGCATTGACCTATGAGCTAGGAGGTCGCAGTTCGATTCCTGGACAGGGCACATGCCACCCAATTACAGCTTGATCCCCAGTGTGGGACATGCGGGAGGCAGTCAATCAATGATTCTCTCTCATCACTGATGTTTCTATTTCTCCCTCTCCCTTCCTCTCTGAAATCAATAAGAATATATTTTTTTTTAAAAAAGTTGAGATTTAATCATGTTATCTTCAAAGGTCCTTTCAGCTTTGAGTATTAAGTGCTCATTAGGTCATTCACTGACTTTCTTTTTTTGATGGGGATCCTATAATGGTGAGTCAGGGTGATTATATGTATCTGGACTTCAGTGTAGTATTTATCAAAATTTCCCATTATCTATCTATGAGTAAAAAGGAAAAATATGGTCTGCATGTCAATGTCAGTAAAGTTTTATGTATAACTTCAACAGTAAGATCCACTGATGCTAATTAATTGGTTGGTGTCAATGTGGTAGGAGTCATGTGTCACAGTACTCTGTACTGTTCAACATTTTTATTAATGTCTTGTATAATACTGATTTCATGCTGTGTGTAAGCTGAAAGTCCTATATGTAAGCTGAAAAGTCAGTTGTCCTCAAAATACTTTACTGGCTGTCTTTAAAAGAACAGGTGAAAAGGAGAGTTCAATAGTGAGTTTAAAATAGGAACTATTATAAGCAAGCTTTTCTTACACACACAAATTAAAATGACAACTAAAAAAATAGTGAGTTTAGTATGAGTCAAAAGTGTAATGAGGCTTCCCTAAATATCTACTGGGTCTTAGACTGTGCTGATAAAAGCTTGGCATCCACAATGAGGCTGGTAATGATCCTGCTGTTTTTTCTGTTCTGGCCAGATCCTGGAATGTTCTCTTTAATTTTGGACAGGATGCTTTAATTGTTGGTATATTACATCACAGTACAATTTTTATTTTTTAGTTTCTTTTTTGAAAATTGATTTGTATGGTTGATAGTTCATGATTTTTTTTCTTTCTTACAGGTCTTCCAAAGAAAAAGAGAAAATGCTATATAGTTATATTTATATAGAATAAACCTCATTTTATAGAATAAAACTCATTTCTCTTGAAATTATTATGTAGGTCTATTGTTGGTTCCTTTTATAAATCTAAAGGTAAACAGGTTAAGAGTAAATTTATAAATCTTAGATTAATAAAGGGTATAAGGGTATACAAAAGGTATAAAGGCATAAGGATAGGAGTATAAAAGGATTAAGAGTATATATAACATAGTATCTTAGTGATTTTTCCTATATTTTGAAACATTTTGTTATTTCATCATCCATAATGATGGATTTAAGTATTACTAATCAATTACTCCTATTTTAAAAAAAGACTATAATAATAAAATGGAAGAATTGTTAGAATGGCCTAGAAAGGTGACATAATTGTGAAATAAATTGTAGGTATTACATCATACTTTGTTTCCTTATTGCTTTGTCCAAAGAATCACATCATCTTTCAGGAAGATATAAAAGAAGTTTAGATACATCTTTCTCATCCTCTATTTTCAGCTTTCATTGAACACAATTGATATTTTAGAGTTTATTTCTTTTTGGTCCATAATGGCAAGGAAAAGAAAGTTAACAGTGAAAAACATTTCACAATTATTGGATGAATCAGAAGATGAACATAGAGAAACAGATAGCAGCATTTTGGATGCTAATGATGATGTTAAAATTCATTGTGTAAGCAAAATGAGAGATGATACCTTAGTCAGTGGTTCTCAACCTGTGGGTCGCGACCCTTTTGGCAGTCAAATGACCCTTTCACGGGGGTCACCTAAGACCATCCTGCATATCAGATATTTACATTATGATTCATAACAGTAGCAAAATTATAGTTATGAAGTAGCAACGAAAATAATTTTATGGTTGTGTCACAACATGAGGAACTGTATTTAAAGGGCTAGAAGGCTGAGAACCACTGTATTATGCTAGATGAATTATCTCTAGCTCAAGACTCAATGAATGAACATTATCTTTCTAAGAATCAGAAGGATATCTGGCATTCTCTTCTAATTAGTCCTTCAACAGGAAGGACTTGATCCTGAAATATTTTGTGAAAATGGAGCCAGACCATACGATTTTGATAAAGGATACAGACAGTATTCTTTCCTTTTTAAAGTAGTTTATACACAAGAATGTACTTGATAAGGCTAGTAAACAGACAAATAAATGCCAGATGTGAATACAAAGGTAATTAAAAGAAAGTAGATGTAGAAATGAATAAATTCATTGGACCAACAATTGTAATTGTTTATAAATCAAAGATGAAAATGGTTTTGCAAATATAGAGAAAGAATATGGCAGTCTTCTCTTCAAAAAAATATGTATCTTCCTAGTTTTCAAAAGTATTGTGTTATGATAAAGTGCAAAAAGAACAATAATAATAATAACTAGAATCTATTACAAGATGTACTTAAAATCTGGACTCAGTATTTATAAAATGGCTATATTTCAGGCTCATGCATAACAACCAATGAGCTTTTAGTTGCACTAAAAGTACTTTTTCCATTAATCTTCAAAACCAGGAAAAATTAAATAAAAATTTGGGATAAATTTGGAAATAAAATGTGAATTCTTATTAAAACTTCAAATAAGTTGTTTTCACTGCCCCTTTGTTCTTACACTTGAAATTATTTGTAAAATGCCTTAAAAGTAAAATAAAATAAAATAAAATGTCCAGTGGATCATAAATGGTGTTGAATATTTTTACACTGGTCCTCTGAGGGTTAAGAGGGGCTTTGCCAAATTTCAGAAACATCCAGATCTCAGACACCTCAGATTGTTTAAAGTTCTGGATTCTCGCTTTCCCCAGGGAAAAGCAGCTATGCATGAAATTGTGTATATAAAACTCCAGAAGGCACGCGGACTCCCTGAAGTTCACAGATAAGGAAATGGAGACATCGAGAGAATAAATAACTATCCTGCATTTGAATTTGCATCTAAGGCATTATAGTTCTGTCACCCAGGTTTACTCTAAACTCCATTTAGCTTTTTACACCTGGAACTATCCCTTGACCAGTTTAATACTAAAGTTATTAATGCAATTACTTTTAAAACTAGAGTGAAGCAATAAGGACTATGCTTTAGAACACGTTTTTCTCTTTTCTAGTCCCTTTTCTTCTTCACATTTCCCCAGTCAAGGAGATGAAGTTGGGTCAGTCTAGGGGTGCGTGTGTAAGCTCTCTGTAATGTAATCTTATCAAGGCAATAACAAATCTCATCCCGCCATTAACCTCAGGTAGTCAATTTCTTTCTGTCACGGAGGGTCACTATCTGTCATCAGCAAAAAAAAGAAAAGCTGATAAATAGGGCATCTACTCTCTATGTATAGGAGACAGGAGACTGCCACGGATATTAAAAGAATCTCAGCTGGGTCATTTATGAGGTAAAGGAATCGTTCACCTTCAGATGGCTGCACACCTGCAACTGACCTTTGACCTACCAGCATGTGAGTTACTAATCAATAGGACAGGTGTAATAGCGTGCCAAGTTTTATTGCTTAGAGAGCTAGCAGAAGAAGGTAAATTTACTAGTAGTATGTACCAAGCACAAGCTCATCAAGCTCGTTCTCCCTTGGTTAACACGTTATCATCTAACAACGCCACTAGTGGGATCCCTTGATCGGTGTTTTCTAAGGCCACACTGTTCCTCTGGGGTGCAAAGTTGAGCGTGCAAATAAAACACCTCCACGCTGCAGAGGTGCTCAAGGTTGGGGCTGCAAGAAGCCGACATGGGGCTTCTGGGCAGTTTAGTCCGCATATGGATCCATCTACATGTGTCACAATGAGGGGAATTCTGAGTTCCGTTTTGTTCCACTGCAACGTGCAAATATACAAAGACGACCTCAAGCAATTTGCAACTTAAAAAAAAAAGAACTACCGTGGGAAGGGAAAAAACGTAACTGCAAAGGGAGTCAAAATAATTCCACCTGGTGGAAGACTACTTCTGCCTCCTCTCACTTAAAAACAAAGCGTCTTTTTAGCAGTATTTCTGTAGCAACTCCTAAACGTGGGCTTGTTCCGCTTGCTGTGGCCTTGGGAAATTAACATGTTTCTTCAAGGCCATTACACGAGTGAAAAATGTATAAATTCGTGGCTGACTGCCAAAGAGCTCGACAAATGTTCCCAGGGGTCAGCCTCGATGTCCTCGGACAGACACGGGGCTTTGGCCCCACACGGGTTCTGTCCCCACCAGGGAGCCTCCCAGCTCACCTTCCTCCTCCTCCTCCTCGTAGCCCTCGGGCTGCGACGGGTGCTCGGACTCGCCCGGGTAGTTCTCCGCCTCCTCCTCGGCCTCGGCCTCGGCCTCGCCACCACCATCGCCGTAGTGCTCCTCCTCGTCCAGGGGGCGGGCCCGGCCGGGGTCCTGGAGGGCGGTGACGTTGGCCCCGCGGGCGGCCGGGAGGCCCGCCAGCAGCAGCCAGCCCACCGCCAGCAGCAGCGCCGCGGGGCAGCCGCCCCCGGGCCTCATGGTTCTCGGCCCCACGGCCGCCCAAGGCTCAGTCGCAGCCGCTCGCTCTCCTGGACGAGCGTCGAAGAAGGAGCCGCGGGTCTCCGAACCCCTGCGCGCCGCGCCCGGGCAACCAGTAAGGCGTCACCGCCCGTCACGGCGCGCGGCCCGCTGCCTCCCTGCGGCGCCTTGGACACGCGCTCCCGCGGCCGCTGCCGACGGCGCCCCGTCCCCTGCGCCCCACGCGCCTGCGGGGTCCCCCGTCTCCCGCTGTGGGCATTCCCTCCGCTAATGAATCATGGCCCATACACGGCAGAAGCCCTTCTCGCTCACCCTTTCTTCTAAAAGAGATCCTTCCTTCTGACGTTGGCTACTCTACGGCCCAGAGTCTCTCTTCCCGGGACACCCCTCTACATTGACTTAACCTCGAATTCCTTGATGCAGAATATCCAACGGCGTATATGTCAGGGTGGACTGTCACAGCCTTCTTGAGTATGGAGCCTCACGCTGCATCCATTTCTGCGGGCGAGGCTTGATTTGTAGAATATGCAGGGCTGCGCTTTCTTTCTCTGACCTGGACGCTGTTGGTTAGCGTAGCTCAAGCATGTAGGCATGTCTTAAGGTGTTGTGCAGCGCCCTCAGCTCCGTGTGGGCCTTCCTGATACTAAATTAGGGGCCGGGAGGGAGGAAGGAACAGGGGAGGATGCAACTGTTGTCAAGATAGTCCTCCACTCTGTGTTTGGGGCGGTGATGCTTTTGGAACCAAACTTCGGACTTACACTTAGGGGGAAAGAACTTTCTCTTCCCGGAGCAGGTTCCTAAGAGCAGAACCTCTCCCCTGGCTTTTTGTTTGGCACCCTTACTCCTGTTTTGAGCCTACATTGTGCTTCATTCTTTTACTTTTGAGTCCATGGTAAGAACAAGCACTCTAATGTTCCTTGGTTACTGTAGAACAAGGTTCTCCCACAATCCCATTTCATAACTGTCCTACCCACACCCATTCCACACCCAAGGTAACTGCTTTCCTGTTTTGTTCATCTAATTCCTCCAAGATAGATGTGTCCCTCACCTTGCATTTTGAACACAGACTCCCAGGTGACAATCCTAAAGTGTCCTAATTTCTGAACTCAAAGGTTCCCCCCAAATCTCAAGTTTCTTTATATATCTAGAATATGTAACACACCTATCAAAAAGGCTAAGAAAGTTTTAATGACAATACCAAATGACACAGTTTCAATGACAATGTTTGTGAGGATGTGGAGGAAGTGGGTCACTCATATATTGCTGGTGGGAATGTAAAATGGTAGTCCCTGCCAGCCTGTTGTGCCTTCATTCTCTGGCCATCATTTAAAACTATATTATTACACAATGGAGTAATTTTGTGGTAGAAGCTAAAGGAAGCCCCGTGGAATTTTGTATATAGGAATAGTGATTTCAAATAGTCACGCTATATCCTCTCAATCTATCACATGTTTAGTAACGTCTTGTCTTATTCCAGCCTCAGTCTCTCCCACCCATTATTTTTTCATGGAATGGAGCGGCCCACAAAGGCCCTTCTTAGAGCAATAAGAAGAAGGCAAGGATGTCTACTATCACAACTCTTATTCAACATTGTATCAAAAGTCGCAGCTACTTCAATAAGACAAGAAAAATAAATTAAAAGTATACATATTGGTAAAGAAGAAATAAAACGTTCACATATGACATGAGTGGCTATATAAAAAATTCAAAAGAATAAACAAAAAAAAAAAATCTGGAACTCATAAACAATTATAACCAGGTTGTAGGATACAAGGTTAATATACAAAAGTTAATTGCTTTCTCATATACTAGAATTTAAAATTTTTAAAAATCATTTACATTAGCACCAAAAATACTTAGGTATAAACCTAATAAGATATTACAATATCTATGTGAGATAAACTACAAAATTCTGATGAAAGAAATCAAGGAACATTTAAGTATACATATGGAGAGATATTTCATGTACATGGAAAAGAAGACTCGATATTTTCAAGTTGTCAGTTCTTTCCAATTTAATCCATAAAATTGGATTAAACACAATCAAAATCCCATTTGTAAATATCAACAAACTAAGTATAAAGTTCATATGTAAAGGGTAAGAGAACCAGAATAGCCAACCCAGTATTTAAAGGAGAAGAACAACACATCTGCAGTCCATTTATGGCTTAGGCCAGAAGGCACCCATTGGCAAATTTTGCTCTAAGAAAACAAGAGAGAAAAGGTGAATTTTAATGATAGTTGAAAGTACCTTCATTGTGAAAAATCATGAGTGGTATACTGATTAATTAGCAAATTTGGAAATAATTATTTCTATTGCTGGCATGATGTGGTGAAATCTGGAATGTTCTGCCAATGCAGGTTTCACCATAAGTTGTTCTAGTCCTTTTCTAAAACAGCTTATCCAGCCCAACCGGTATGGCTCAGTGGTTGATCCATGAACGAGGAGGTTAAGGTTAGATTCCCAGTCAGGGTACATGCCCAGGTTGCGGGCTTGATCTCTAGTGGGGAGGGTGTAGGAGGCAGCTGATCAATAATGCTCTCTCATCATTGATGTTTCTATCTCCCTCTCCCTCTCCCTTCTTCTCTGAAATCAATAAAAAAAATATATTTTTTAAAAAACCAACCAAACAGCCCTAACCGGTTTTGCTCAGTGGATAGAGCATCGGCCTGCAGACTGAAGGGTCCCAGGTTTGATTCCCCTCAAGGGCATGTACCTTGGTTGTGGGCACATCCCCAGTAGGGAGTGTGCAGGAGGCAGCTGATCAATGTTTCTCACTCATCGATGTTTCTAACTCTCTATTCCTCTCCCCTCCTCTCTGTAGAAAATCAATAAAATATATTTTAAAAAAATAAAAAACCAACCAAACAAAAAACAACTTATCCATAAGTTTTCAAAACTCTATAATATTATATGTACTTGATAATCCCATTATTGGTAAATTAAGTTATGGAAATAAATTTAAAGTTGCTGTATAAAGATGTTTATTACTAGATTGTTTATAAAAGCAAAACATGGAAAGGATCTGAATATCCATGAAATAGGAGAATGATTAAATAATCTTTAATCAACTCAATGGGATGTGATTGCAGCCTTTAGGAAGTTTGATTGTAATTGGAATTGTTGTTAGTAAACATTATTACAGCTATTTCAACATAGTACTATATGAAAAATAATGATTTCTGCACAGCAAAAGAAACCAGCATCATAATGAAAAGGAAACCCACTGTATGGGAGAACACATTTGCCAGTGCTTCATCTGATAAGGGGTTAATTTCCACAATATGTAAAGTACTCATACAACTCAACAAAAGACAAACAAGCCAATTAAAAAAATGGGCAGAAGACCTGAATAGACCCTTCTGCAAAGAGAACATACAAATGGCCAAGAGACATGAAAAAATGCTCAATGTCACTAATCATGGGAGAGATGTAAATTAAAATCACAATGAGGTACCACCTCAAACCTGCCAGAAGGATCTCTTACCCTTTGAGACAGCATGGAGGAACCTAGAGAGTATTATGATAAGCAAAATAAGCTAGTCAGACAAGTATCCTCACATGATCTCACTTACATGTGGAATCTAGTGAACAAAATAAACTGATGAACAAAAAAAGATCCAGAGCCACTAAAGCATGCAACAGACTGATGTATTTCAGAGGTAAGGGTGGGACTGGAAGCGGTTAACCTATGATCTTACATGCATGTATGCATGGCTCATAGACAGACAATAGTGCAGGGAAGGCCTGGGGAGGGGAAAGGAGTAGGGTAGAAGTGACAATGGGCGGGGGGGGGGGGGGGGGGGGGGGGGGCGGTATCTGTAATACTTTCAATAATAAAGATACATTTTTTTTAAAAAAGAATGAACACAAAAGCTTCCAACATCACACTTTCCATTTAACCTTCAGAAGTTTGTCCATACTCATCCCTTAGCTTGGAGTAAATGAATTAGTGTACAAATACAACTATGTAAACATCATATGTGAATATGCAGATACTGGCAAGGCATTAAAATGGGAAAGCCACATGGTGAGATTTAGGATTTTCTTTTTAATTTTTCAATTCCTACCAGTGTTTGTGCAATAATTTATCTTTGAATGTGAACAGTGCTATCATCTCCCCATTTATTAGGATTTTAAGAGACTTGTATGATTACCCTTGAACAATTATTATAGTACCTACAATGGCAGGAGAAATGTTGAGAACCAAGGTGCTTATCTAGATAATTCAACATCCTGCACCTCCCCACAGATAATCACTTCTTAAAAATTATATAGATAATTGAAACAGTTTTCCCCCCTTAGATCAAATTTAACTCACTTTGCTGGTTAAAGTCTGTTACAGCAACGCTTCTCAAAGTTTATTTGCATGTGAATCACCTGCGGATCTCCTTAAAAGATGTGCTTTGACTTGGTAGATTTAGGGTGAGTCCTGAGACTCTTCATTTCTAACAAGCTCTGGGGTAATGCCTGTGCTGCTTGTCAAAGGCCCTTGCTTGAGTAACAAATCCTACAACATTTGAGTAATTTACTTACCCAATTGAATCCAGATAATGCATGTACTTACATATGTTTGTATGCATATGCATATGTGTGCATACATATCCATACACACACATACATATATTTTAAATGGTCTGTCAATCTTGGCTATCAATATTAAGCAAATTTTGGAAATTTCCCGTTTTATACTGTAATTTATGCTGTATAAACAGCCTAGTTTCCTAATTTTTGAAACAGAGATAAACAGTAAGTTAATGTTCATAAATTCTGTGGGAAAAAAGAGAAATGTTGAATGTGATCATTCTTGGCAGAGGTTTGACTTGTTCAATGATAAAAGCAAAATCTGGTTGTAAGTGTTCAAAAAGCATCAATAAACTCTCGTAACTTGCTGATGGAATTGAAATCTAGCACTCTTCCTTCTCACAGTCAGTGCTCAACAAACATTGGCTCAGTGAATGCCGCATGAACCCCCACAGCTACAAGTCTTAGGAATGCATCCTATGCAGCAATTTCTAGCTACTGGCTGAAAATACTAGTTTTTTTTCTTGATGCTTTCAAATGATAACTTTATCAACTTCAAGTATGATGAAAGTATTCATTTTGTAGAAAATCTTAAATCAGTGAGATGCTTTTTTCTATAACATAGTACTTGAATTGATAATATCTTCCAGAATCAGTAACTCTCAACAAATTTTATTTTCCAAACACTGTCCTCAGCAAAAATAATGCTGAGAGGTCAGGGCACATCTGCAGAGTGTGAAAAGGCAGCATCTGAAATATTCTTTATGCATTCCTTTCCCCCA